CATGGGGGAGATTCGCGGCGGAGATCAGAGACCCATTGAAGAAGACCAGAGTTTGGTTGGGCACCTTCGATTCCGCCGAGGATGCCGCCCGTGCTTACGACAACGCTGCCATAACCCTCCGCGGCCCCAAAGCTAAAACCAATTTCCCCCTTCCCACTCCCACCTCCTTTTTCGATTACCCTCCTCCTTGCCCGATCCCCGATTCCTTACTAACCCTCACAGACCCACTTCCAGCACCCTCAGCTCCACTGTTGAGTCCTTCAGTGGTCCCCGACCACCCTCTGCGGCGGCTGCCACTTCCGCCTCTCGCCGATACCCACGCACGCCGCCCGTCGTCCCAGAGGATTGCCATAGCGACTGCGATTCGTCGTCCTCGGTCATCGACGACGGCGACATCGCTTCCTCGTCCATGATTCGTCGGAAATCTCCCCTGCCGTTCGATCTTAACATTCAACCGTCTGATCATCTTGATTTTGGCGGCGATGATCTTCGACGCACCGCCTTGTGCCTCTGAACCACCGACGGCGGCGGCGACTGGTGGCGATGATGATGCCCATCAAGAATTCAATATTTTATTATTTGTTTTTATTTTTATTTTTGTTGTCTACTTCAGTGTGCCGGCGGAGAGAGAGAAAGAGAAATTACAGATAAGATTATGGAAAATCAAAAGCAATGATTTATTTGGAGAACTATTTCCCTTTTCTTTTTTGTTTCCTTCTCTCCTCCACACGGCCTCTAATATGATACTGGTAGCTTTAATATGATATTGGTAGCTTTAATATGATATTGGTAGCTTAAAGTAGGGTGAAGTTAATAGGATCATTCTCTAAATTAGTAATTAGTAAACATTATTAGTAATTAGTAAACATAGTCTAATGGGTGTTTAAAGGGTTGGATACAATAGAATGGAAAATGGAAGGGTTGGGTGTTTAAAGAGATCTAATTGTTTAGGTTATTGCCAATAGACATGAGAGACCTTAGGTCTAATGGTTGCGATTGAGTTTGGAAGTTGGTAAGTTAGTAAAGCAACCGGTTACATTAAAAAAATTTGAACCTCAATTTAGGTTGTTTTTAGAGTCTTTTTCAATGGTGGTGAATGCCACCGTTATAACATTATAAATAGGAGCTTTGGGATAGGACCTCCTAAATTATGTGTCTCTTGCTGTTGGGTTTGGAGATTTTCCATCCACTTTCAAGGTTTATAACTCGAGTTACAGTCAATGTACCCATATACAAGATTTGTGAAGTAATCGAGGCAAAATGACCATTATATAAAGCTATAGAGCTTCATTTTCAAATAGCATAGACATTTCAAAGAGTTCGCCAAAAAAAATTTGGATATGGAACTTCAAGAACTCAAGCCCTGAATACTAACTAGGAGATAAGTAGTCAATGTAGATTTTTCAAAACAAAAAATATTTGTAAGAACAACTTGAAAATGAATAGAAACCTAAGTTAAGTAAGAACTAAAGGAATACGGAAGAAATAGACTAAGAACTGTGAGTTAAGGGCCAAAATCGAGGTTTGTTTGGGAATCAAGTAAGCTAAAGAACCCACTAAATGAACTGTAGTGCTCATGAAATTTTAATACTGAGCATACTATGACATTTGAAAGTAATATATGGAACGTTGTAATCTCTAGATATGAATAAGTAGCTAGAAGAACGGTATAAAATGACCATAATGCCCCTAAAGTACTTTCCCTTGTGTTTATGACCTTAATGACCTCCAATCAACCTAAAACTTTATATAAAATCTCAAACTATAAATCTTAAGAAACTTGTATAATCTCATGACCATTGGACTAAGTTTTGGGCTCCATCAATGATTTAGGTACATATTAGGTACATATTGACCCTAATGAGCAAGAGGTAAGTAATTCCTTGGTCATACCATTCTCCCGACTTATTTATATGATATTAAGGTATTTATGACTTATTCAAGCTATGATTAGGCCTATAAATGTATCATGAATAGGGTGTGTTATAAGTTATCCCAAAAACCTTAGGGATATGCATGTTACAATGCATCAAGACATACCCTAGGAGAGGTGGAATTGGCATGTGAGAGACCATGAGAGGTGGAATTCAACAAATGTTATTTGGCTGTTTACGATTAAGTTTCAAAATTTGGTATCATACTCGAATTGGACTACGTTCGTGAAGAAAGAAAGGTATAAGGGAGCCTGAATCACAAAACGCTATTCAAGCTCTCGATAAACCTTATGAAAATTTGAGCATTTTTATTTAACACAAATTAACATCTTTAGCTGTTCCATTAGAAAATAAATTTCGCATTAGTTAATATAAAGTGAAATACTCATATAAAGGATTATCTAAAATAAAGTATGCAAGTCTTTGAACTACTTGAATTAAATGGATTGGAGAACATATATTTAATACCCACATATACCTCTCTTCTTTATTTAATAAATCCAAGATATCAAATAATAATGTTCTTATGAATTAACAACTTACCTTCCACTATGAACCATAAGCTTTAATGATAGAAAATTTATTTATTTTTACTTATTAACCTCATGATCACTACGTATCCTTTCTTCTTCGTTCGATTTCTTACTCAATTTCCTAACAGTTTTCTCTCTCCTCCTTGCCACGTTTCTGACGTCTTTCTTCTTCTTTTTTTCTCTCCCCATCTCTCTGTGGACCCCTCCTCTTCTCTTCCACGAATTTTTGTGGCTTGTAGGTGTTTGTGATGACGGATCTTCGAGATTTTTGAAACTCGATTTCGATCTCCTATCTCACGACGATGACGACAACGATACCGCGAGGAACGTGTCCTAGGCGGTCGACCTTCTCTTAGACGAAGTGTTTCGAGCATTTTGACATCGGATCTCACGGTTTAAGGCCATGGGTTTCGTTTTCAATTTTCACCGACGTTCTCGATAATTTTTTCTCTCTCTCGGCTACTCACTCTCTTCTTCATTGCAGGTGGTCTGAGGGGCTTGGGGAGGTTTCTGACGTTCGTATGGTGATAGTTAAAGGTCAAGGGAGCATAGTGAGAGAGGTTGGAGAACACGATTCCCTGCGGTTGCCAAATTCCAGGCGATTGAGTTTTTTTTTTTTTTTTTTTTTTTCC